TGAGCTTATCTTGGTAGTTGGCATTGGGGACAATGCCAGCTTTTATTCGTGGGGGTGCGCCCTACCATTTTGATTCTGATACATTGGATGACTGTATATATTTATTTCATTTCTAGTCTATGTTTTAGATTGTTTTTGTTTTTAAAATAGTTGGCCTGTATATAACTTTTAACTTTGGCTACTTTTAGACTCTTATGTATATATTCATCCCGTTGTATATTCTACTCCCCATTGTACATATTCATTCGGTTTTTCTAATTTTCATTCAAATTTTTCATTTTTTTAGCCTAGTAGTGAGGCTCGTAGCCTTTTGTTTTGGTTTTAGTGTTTTCAATAAGCCCTTGGTTTTCTTAATGCCACGGTTCTTTCCAAGGGTAGTGTGTTGTGCGAACCGGGTGGCTCTTCCCAATGATAGATGGCGTGACAACCTTCTTAAGGGTTTGAGTCCATTTTTGATTTTTCTTCTTTTGATTTTCAAATTTTGTAGTTAAGAGGACCTCAGGCAAGCTTCACTTGGGCCTAACACATTTGCCTTTGATCTCATGGTCAAAGACATAAGGTTGTGTTTAGGATGGTGAAAAATTGTGGCCTTGAGACTCTTGTGTTGGCCAAACAATCATCATACGGTCGTGTGGGGCCATTGTGCGCTTGAATTGGAACTAAGGTCGTTGTGGGCTCTCAACTCGATGTCTTTAGCAAAACCTGAGTGTGTGTGTGGTGAGAATTTGAATCATGAGTCTAAGTTCCAAGCCAATGGTCTAGAACTTGCCCTGAATGTTTGTTGAGGCGAAATCATAGGTGAAACTTGACTTGAGAAGTGAATATAGGCCCTCCTTGATCCGAACTTCCAAATTTGAACAATTTCCATAACCTACCAATGAAATGATCCCTAGTTCAACCCTTTTGAGCCTTAACATTCTTCTTTCATGAACCAAAGCTACAAGCCTATACCCGTTCTCAATGAGACTCTCTCTTGGCACCCAAATCTTCCCTTGAGGGATGGCAAATACCTAAGTTTGGGGGGTTGAGACAAGAAAGGACTCAATGCGGTAAAGAGGCACAAAAGCAAAGAAAAGGGAGACAATGAAAAAGAGAAAAAGACAAAAAGAAATGCAAAAGTGAATAAGAACCGAAAAAGGGGATTCAAAGAAAACAAAGTGAAAAAGGTTGTGTAAAAGTAGAAAAAGAAGAAAGGTTTGAAGTGCAAAAGAAAGAGTGACAATGTGTTTCTCTAACCCCTTGAAAGAATTGAAAGAAGTGAAACACTCAAATGAGTCAAAAAGTATGCCATAAAGAATCAAAAGAAGTGCTAAAGGGAAGATTGAACCTAAATGAACAAAAACTTATCCTACCTTCACCCAAAAGCCTTCACAAAGACTCCTCAAAAGCCCTATATGATCTTGAGTTGAGGGAAGCATACATTAGTGGATACTTACATAAGGGGCAAGCATATGGTACCTAAAGCTGGACTTATGACCTTCTTTGTGAGAGAAATAAGTGAAAACAAAAATCCATCAACCTCGGGTTGTGTGTCATTACTCTAAAAAGTGAGGTTCGCTTAGGGAGAGTTGAGGATGTGTGAGTTTGGGTTCCACAAAGACCAGGGTATTTGAGAAAAGCGCCTTGATGAAATGAGTCAACCCTTGATGCTCTCGTGCCACATTTGAACCATAGTTTTTAAAAGATTAAAAATGTGTTAATGATGCATTCGTATTGAGGGCAATTGTTAGTCCCAGTTGATGCGTGATGAGGCTTCCTTAGGATAAGCTGGAATTACTTGGATGTTTCCCTTTGATGGGTGGGTCTTGCTTTACTTGCTTGAGGACAAGCAAAGGTTTAAGTTTGGGGGAGTTGATAACTGTGATTTTAACACGTTTTATGCTCATACTTGCCTATGCTTTATGTATGATTTGCTATAAAATAAACCCAGAATGCTTATAAGTTGCGCTTGATTGCAGGTTTGAGCAACAAGATGACGAAAGTCAAAAATCGGCTCGAAACGGAGTGAAACCTGCTCAAGTGTCAAAGATCATGAAAGCAAGGATATTCAGAACTTGGTGCGGACCGCACCATCATGTCATGCGGCCGCACCATAGGAGTTCAGAGAGTTGGCATTCTCAGTTCCAGCCAATGCGGCCGCACTACAAGCTCACGCGGTCCGCACCACAAAAGTCCAGAGACCATCACAAGCCACTCATGCGGCCGCACTACAAGTTCACGCGGTCCGCACCACAAAAGTCCAGAGACCATCACAAGCCACTCATGCGGCCGCACTACAAGTTCACGCGGTCCGCGCCAGTCATCATGCGGCCGCACTTCATCATTGTGCGGTCCGCGTCAACATCTTCAGAAGGCAAGTCTCAGAAATCAAGCAACCCAGTGCGGCCGCGTGTCAACTTCGTGCGGACCGCACGGACCCCGCAGGGGTATTTTTGTCCGGTTTTTCTTAACTTAGTACAAATAGAATATTTGCCATTTTTACGGTACGAATTAGATACCAGAGNGTTGAGTAATGTAGCCTTTTCAGACTTGTTAGAGTTGTTAAAAGAGGCATTTCCCCTTGCTAAGCTGCCAGAGTCTTTCAACAAGGCTAAAAATATGATAAAAGATTTGGGTCTTCATTATGAAAAAATACATGCATGCCCTAATGATTGCATGCTATTTTGGAATAACAATGCAAAGGCTGATAGTTTCTCTGTTTGTGGGTCTTCTAGATGGAAACGTTCTAATCGTGCCTTGACTAATACAATTTCTAAAGTTCCTGCAAAGGATTTAAGGTACTTTCCCTTGAAGCCTAGGCTTCAGAGGATATTCATGTGTCCTGAAACAGCTATTGCAATGAGATGGCATGCTAATGAACGACCTAATGATGGGAATTTGAGGCATCCCGCTGATGGAGAAGCTTGGAAGGATTTTGATTCTCTACATCCTGACTTCTCCAAAGATCCACGCAATGTTAGGTTGGGTCTTTCAAGTGATGGTTTCAACCCATTTCGAACCATGAGCATTTCTCATAGCACGTGGCCTGTCATGTTAATGAACTATAATTTATCACCATGGATTTGCATGAAGCCAGAATATATCATGTTGTCAATGATCATTCCAGGTCCTTCATCTCCAGGAAATGATATAGATGTGTACTTACAACCACTTATTGCAGAATTGAAAGAACTATGGGAAACTGGGATAGAAACATATGATGCTGAGACAAAGCAAACATTTCAAATGCGTGCAGCCTTGTTGTGGACAATTAGTGATTTTCCAACATTAGCTATGCTTTCAGGATGGAGCACCAAGGGGAGGTTGGCATGCCCCACTTGTAATTATGACACATGCTCTCTATATCTCAAACACAGTCATAAGATGTGTTACATGGGCCATCGAAGATTTTTGCCGCATGATCATCCTTTGCGGAAAGATAAGAAGTCATTTGATGGTAAGGAGGAACATAGACCTGCACCTACTCCTTTGTCGGGTGTAGAAGTGTTTCAAGAGCTGCTTGAATTCAACAATGTTTTTGGAAAGGGCAAAAAGAAAAGACCTCGGGATAACAAGGGTCCGTGGAAAAAAAGATCTATTTTTTTTGAATTGCCATATTGGGCGCATAACAAATTGAGGCACAATCTTGATGTGATGCACATCGAGAAAAATATATGTGACAGTTTGCTTGGGACTTTATTGGAAATAGAAAAAAAGTCAAAGGATCATGTAAATGCTCGCTATGACTTAAAAGTGATGGGGATACGAGAAGAGTTACAACCAAGAGAAGATGATAATGGATCAGTGAGTTTGGCTAAAGCTTGTTTCTACATGGAACCAAAACAGAAAAGTTTATTTTGTACCGTTATAACTAATGCCAAGTTACCAAAAGGTTGTGCTTCAAATATTTCAGAACGCGTGCACGTGAAGGAGATGAAAATATCAGGGTACAAGAGTCATGATGCTCATTTTTTAATGCATTACTTGCTCCAGGTTGTTGTTACAAAGACGTTTCCCAAGAGTGTTTCATTGGCCTTGATTAGGTTGGGTAATTTTTTTAGAGCTATCTGTAGTAAGGTCATAAGGCGAAGAGATCTTGAAAAAATGAACTCTGAAATAGTTGAAATAAATTGTGAGCTTGAAAAGATTTTTCATCCAACATTTTTCGATATAATGCTACATTTGCCTATTCATTTGGTGAATGAAATTAAGCTTGGGGGTCCAGCTCATCTTCGTTGGATGTATCCCATTGAGAGGAACCTATGTAAATACAAGGCATTTGTTCGTAATCGATCTTTTCCAGAAGCATCGATAGCAGAGGGATTTTTGGCAGAAGAGTGTTTGATTTTTTGTTCAAGATACCTACATGACAGCGTGAAGACAAGATTCAGTAGATACCCAATTGTAGATGATGAGTGCCCTCAACATTTGTCATCTATATTCCCTGTTATAGGCCATCCAATTGGAAGTAAGAAGAAAAATACTTTTCTCATGGATCCACAGTTATGTTATGAAGCACATCGATATGCTCTATTCAATACTAGAGATGAACAAGTGGAAAAGTTCATCGAGTAAGATAAATTATATAACACTTATTCTATACTTCATTTTTTTAATGATATAATTGATCTTGAAATATTCATGATTGCAGGGAACATAAGAATTTAATTGGTAATCGCAGTAGATCAAATGCATGGGAAAGGGCAAGAAATCATAGTCGGGAATTCAACAATTGGTTTGCTGAGAAAGTCAAAAATATTGAAGTGCCCAATTATATAAGATGGCTAGCTAAAGGGCCTAATGCGATCGCCAAAAGATATACTGCATATTTCATTAATGGATACCGATTTCATACCATAGAACGGGATTCCCGATGCAAGACTCAAAATAATGGAGTGACTTTATCGGCAACAACCGATAGCTTTGCTAGCTCTAGGGACCAAAATCCCATCGATGGTGAGGTTATCTATTATGGAGCTATTCAGGATATCATTGAGATTGATTATTGGGGTTGTTTTAGTGTTGTACTATTTAGATGCGACTGGTTTCGTAATGAAATAGATGAATATGGGTTAACCCGTGTGTACTTTAAGAAATTATGTAGTACAGACGACCCTTTTGTGTTAGCATCACAAGTTTATCAAGTTTTATATGTGGAGGATCCTGTTGAGAAAGATGTTTATTATGCAAGGAATAAAGTCCCTGTTGATTTATATGATTTAGAGGAAGAGAATTGCCCTAATATTGAAGACGCATTTTGGAGGGAGCCTAATGATGACATTGGTTCCTTCAGCGGATTAGTTGATGTTGACGTTGGATGCTCAAGAAACGATGTACCCGTTGATGTCGTTGATATTCCATCTAATTCACAACATTCAAATGATACAATTATAGAAACATCGGAAGAGGAGAATGAGTTTGATGATACTGATTNTTGCATGCAGCCGGATCACTTGCATCTTTGCTGAACCAAAAAGTTTCATCATTGAAAACAAAAGAATTGTTCAATCTACAAGGACAAATGACAAGCATCATCTGAATTTAATTGAAAAACAACTTCCGCAATTAGGAGTTCAAGTGCAAGAACAATTGTTGCAACTGCCTCAGCCTTCTGCTTCTCCAACACAAAATGTACATGAACATGTGCAACAAAAGTCACTGAACTCTACCTCTCTTGCATCACAAGCAGTACGTGAACAATTGCAGCAACTGCCACTGGATTCCACCATTTGTACTTCACAAACGGTACATGAACAATTTGAGGATTCTTCCAATCATGAAACAAATGAACAATCCGAGGAACAAGGCAAGAACATATAAATTTTATTTCGTTAAATTAGCAAACAATATGGACGTGATATATGGTGATTATTCTTACTTAATATTAATGCAGGTCCTTATGACGAAAAAAGAAAAAGAGGAAAAACTTTGATGCCAAGTGTTCATGGTAGGAAAGAGCGCAAACTAATTGTGCTAAACGAGAACAATCAACCCATAGGTCCTACTGGTGATGTTGTAACAGAGTTGGGTAGCTTCCTCGGCACATTGGCAAGGAATGCGGCCTTTTGTCCTCTTAATGTGTTTAATTGGAGAAAACTTCAACAAAAGAAGATATGTGGATATATATCAAGGTTTGAAGTTCGCAATATTCTGTGTATATATTTCATATTTTTATACTAACCTAGCTGTACCAAATTAAATTTGTAGGGAAAATATGATATTCCTGATGCTGCAAAAAGGTGGGTTTTTGATTCAATTCAGAATGCTTGGAGAAAGTATAAGCATCAACTATTTAACGACCATTATAAACCATATGAGAATGACGAGCTTCGAATGGAGAAAAGGCCGGTTGATGTTCTTGAATCTCAATTTAGAGATCTTCTTAATTATTGGAACTCTGATGCCTACAAGGTAAAACTAAGTACTGTCCCATGATTTGCTGAGAATGTCTAGTTTATGTTTAATTAGAAATCACTTTATTATTTTTATACATCAAATGCACTTAGGTTACATAACCTAGTGCAAAATTTAAGCTTCATTTGAATCTATTGGGACAACTGAACTTGACAACTTTATATTTATTGGCCGATTTGCAGAAAATGTCCCAAACCAATACCGAGAATCGCAAAAAGCTGAAATATCCACACACTGCCGGAAAAAGAAGTTTTGCTCGAATATGCGAGGTTTGATATTTTTTTTCTTATTATTATTCTTTTAAATATGAACTTATTAACTTTAGTCCAATATATTTTTATACCACTTTTTATATAATCAGGAAAAAAAGAAAGAAACTTCTGAGACTCTATCAAGCAAGGACCACTTTGTGGCTATGAGAAAAAGAAAAGTTGATCGAGTATAGAAGGCCTCGTATGCAGATACTCTTAATAAAATTGTACGAGTTATTAATTTAAAGTTTGTTGTTATCATTTGTCCGTTCTTAGTTATTGACTCAGTGTCATATACTTTCTGATTTAATAATGACTCAATTTGGTCTTGTTGGCTGCAATGGAAAGATTACAATCAACACAAGAAAGTAAAGATGGCAGTCAATCAGTTGATGCATTTGCATCAGTCATGGGACCTGAGCATCCAGGTCGCCTAAGATTGTATGGATGTGGGGTTACCAAGACTTTCTTAAAAAGAAAAGTGGGAAATTTGGGACCCTCAAGTTCTACTGATGAGGTGATGCAGCAAAAATAGGAGGAAATGGAAGAAAGGATGCAGCAAAGATTGCAGGAAAAGTTCAATGCACAAAAAGATGCCATCGAACTACAAGTTGCAGTTAAAATCATTTCACAACTTAAGCATCTGAATCCAGATTTTCGGGTTGATCCTAGCATCCTAGGTTTCAATGCTCGTTCACCTGGAGAAGCTTCCTCTGCCCAACTAGCTGCTGTGCAACTAATAAATAGTCTATCTACTGGGAGTAATAATCAAGGTCAGTACGTCTATCTTTGTTTGTTTCTTGCTTTCTTCTTCTCCTCCTTCTGCTTCTCTTTTAAATTTCACTTAAACTTATTCGGCTTAGCTATAACCTTTTATAAAGAGAATAATTGGCTTATAATATCAACACATGTTGCTTCCCCTTTATCTTGGTTTTCTGTACAAAGCCATCTATTGATTGGCAAAAGCAACATCTATTGTGTGGCTGGCTGGTTTTTGTATCTTTGGAACCTAAATCAATTAATCAGTCAACTACGTTTCAGTTACAAACTAGTTGGGCTCAACTCAATACTTCACTGGTGACCATTTGTTTCAATTGCTTACCATTTGCTTTTTTTCTTTTCTTTCTAAATCCTCATAGTAGACTCTCTAGATTGAAGGCTTCTGTCAACTAGCTATAGTTGAGCTTCTGCTAACTCTTCTCTCGTTTTCCCTTTGTTACATTGGTCCCAAGAAAGATTTATAAGGGCATTCTTCAAAAGGATGCAAAATTTGCCTTTTCTGGTAAATCTTGGATGCAAATCTACGCTGTAAAAACAATGCTCTTCATGTTGTTGTTGACATACATCAGGCTTAATATGTGGCATATGATATAGTATATTGTAAAAAATCCACTTTTCAATGAAAGAGTAATTGAAAATGAACTGAAAACTTATCAACATGCTTAAATGCAGCCTTCACAAGCTTCAAGCAGTGGTTATCATTGAAAAACAACCACTATTTTTCTGTCAATTCCTTGCATATCTGTCAAAAAATTCCAGAAAATACACATGAATGTGATGGTTCAAATTCAAACCGCTAGAGAACATGTTAGGAAAATTGTATAGCTGTTGTCTAAAGATAAATAAATCAAACATCACTTTTTAACTTAAGAAAAAAGCAAATAAAGTGATCCCGCAGTTGGCCTAGGGAAGATCTTCATAGCCTTCTGCTGTCTAGCCGCAGCACGTCTCCTTGTTTTCCTAGCTGGCTGGTTGAACCAAGTCCTTACATAGTTTTGCCTTGATCATCCCAAACAATCCCATTCTGAATTCAGCTTAGCTAAACCAATTCTGGTAACGCGTTTCCGATTTCACTTGCGTGGTAGTTGGAAGTAATAGATTGTTTGACTATATCGATTAGACATCTTAGAGTTATTTAGGAAATTGCTTATGTAGTTTAACTAAAACTAGTAGGTGTTCATTAGATTTGCTGGGATAATCTTGTTTATGACTTGGTAAACAGCAAGACTAATAGATGTAGGGATCCAACTGCTTCAATGTTAGTATTCCACTGTAATCTTATGTCTGGACTAATCTTCACAGAAAAGGAAAACTTAACGGGAATTCTGTAGCAAATCATCTTAGTTCCTAAAGTAGGTATTCGTAATAAGTCTAATGACGAATTCAAACGAGATTTACACTAAATTTTACTCCTTGTTTCCCTTAAGTACTGGTCTGGTTTGAACCTAACGTCCTTACTATAGTTTAGTCCTAATTGCTTACTTGTAAGTGACCCATTTGGGTATAAGTATGTTGTAGTATTCATCTCGTTTAACCTGGTTTAGGTCTTACGTAACGTTGTTGGTAGGGCTTTTGGGTAAGGTTACCTAAAAGGGTCGTTTTTTGGCCGAATTCCTTTAAACCACGGGGGATTTTAAAAAGGCAACCATTTACTTGTTGTCATCTCTGACTTGTTTTTGAAAAACTTTGTGCTGTAAGATTTTTACTGGATATAAGATTGTTTCATCCTAGCAAAAAGAACTGAAGACTTAGAGATCGACATTCTAGTACATTTGAAAACTTTGTGCTTTATGCATTGTTTATGGACCATACCCATTCTTATAATGATAAACCAACTCATGAAGGATAATGACTTTATTTATCCTCTTTTGTAGGGAGCAATTGAAGAAAGGGAAGATGGAGATTGTGAAGATCTAGACCTTACTTAAGAACTTTGAATTGTTGTCCATGTTCTAGGAATCTTTTATTATCAACATTTGAACTAACTCTTGAAGTGTTGATGTAAAACTTATGTGATTGGGTTAAAATATTTTGGTTTTATGGAGTAAGTGTTGATGTAAAACTTATGTGATTGGGTTAAAATATTTTGGTTTTATGGAGATAATATAGATTATGAAGTGTTTTATCTTTTTATTTATATAAATTTCAGGTTATTACAAATTTTATATATCTAAATATTCATTTACAGCCAGGGCGTAATAGCCTAATAGAACCGTTCCAATAGGTATGGAAAATTGCTCCAAAATAGTCTACAAGAACCGTTCCAATAGGTATTCAAAATCGTTCCATTAGGTCTTACAAATCGTTCCAAAATCTGCAACAAACTGACACGATAGGTAGTTAAAACCGTTGCAAAAGAAATAAAACCGTTACAGTAGCGTAATGAAACCATTAGAATATTTGTAAATAAACGTTGCAATAGCTTACATAACCGTTGCAACATATGATATGGTAACGGCTGCCAACCATTGCTATAGACTATATGGCAACGGTTTTTGACCGTTACAACTGGAAAGAAATACTCGTTGCTTCAGGCAGAGGAACAACCGTTGCGATAGATATACCTTAAGCAACGGTTTGGATAACTGTTGCAAGAACCGTTACTCTAGATCTAGTGGCACGGCAGCGTATCTAATGGTTGCTAAACTGTTCCAATACCTCTATGGCAACGGTTTACCTCTCTGTTGCAACGATTTTACGGCTGTTGCAATAGGCTCATTTTCCAGTAGTGCGGCCAACTCCAAATCATGAACATGGTGATTCTTCTCGTGGGGCTTTAGCTGACGTGAAGCATATACAATAACTCGCCCTCCTGCATCAATACACAACCCAGGCCAATGCGTGAAACATCGCAATACACAGTATATGTCCCTAAACCGAAGGCAACACCAAAATCGGTGTTGTAGTCAAAGTTGTCTTGATCTCTTAAAAGCCTGCCTTGCAATCATCGGACCATCGGCACAGAGCACCCTTTTGGGTCAATCTAATAAAGGTGCTACAATAGATGAGAAGCCCTCCACAAA